TACCTTCTTTCTAGTTTGAAAATGTTTCTGTCTCTCATGTTTAAAGTATAACAACGCAGTCCTAAGCATCAAGTAGATTTTCTTCCAGCACTGTAGTAATAACATACTGATTGGCAAAGACTTCTATGATACTCGATATTAGGAGTAAGCAGGCCCACAAAGAAGGTGGTTAGAAGGATTTTTGCCTATTGCTATGAACCAAGTGAATAAACTGTAAAGCAATGAGTCTCCTAGTTTAGTGACTTCGTAATATTCTTCTTAAACAGGTATCAGTCAGCAATTTGGACTGAATGACATAATGGTCTTAGCTATCTAGTCAACAATGAACGCATGTTGACGCATGAAAAAGCCAAGTGTGTAAGATTTTTAACTGCTGGAACTCTTCATTGATATGTATCTTCAGTTTTGAGGCAATTACGTTTTCATCTAGAACTTTTACGTGCATCAGTTAATCTTGAAGTCGGAAGCACTAATACTAAGCTACCCACATCATAACCTACCCTTCGTAACACCGGGTTGTGTATATGATACTGGTTGAAGGTTGACAACTGATGTAGCTTGTGAAACCCCATTCCGTGAGCAAAGTAAGTCGGTTTGTATTGGTTAAGAAAAAGTATATCTGAAAGTGATTTCTGTAAAAGTACGATGTCAACTAGTCGGTGATAAAATCTATAAGACATAATTAACAAACTTGATTGAAGGATTTAGGGTACCCTAAAAACACACCAGACAAATAAAACGACACTTATATGAGTTCAACATACAATTTATCACTTACATTTTAGTTAAGAACAATCAATGAATTAATTTTAAAACATTGGTAGATGCCCTAATAAGTATGAAAACACTTCAGCATTGCACATTCTGCGAACTACGTTTAAGAATACAGTGTTGATCAGTACATTAAGCGACCATATTTACAAAAAAGAAATGACAGATTGTTGTATAATAATAGGCCCCAAAACTGATTCAAAATGCCTTTTTCATGAAAACGCTACACAATGAACCGTGTGATATGAATCATTAAAAACCCACTTCTGATATCTAAACAGTTCTATGATTTATTGGACTGAAGTAGGAGGTTTTGTATGTTTTTCGTTACTTCATCTTTGATGTGATGGCCGGATTATATTAACATATCTCGTGTCAAATTTATATTACTTACTATTTATCAGTAGCATACTTTAAATGCTCATAATTTCACAATCATGTACGGCTCTATAGAACTGCTTTTTTCGAGCTTCTAATCATTTCACCGGGTCGATAAATCTGTTTGAGATTTAGTAGATGATAAAACTTAAAAACTTACTCTGCAATCGCCAAAAAGGTATAGTAAGTTAGTTGACTGTAGTTTTGTAACAATGTATTCATTGACAGAGTTCAATGATCATTGAGTCCTACAAAATGATAAGTTTTTTACTTAACCAGTAAACAATTGTTGTACCAGCACTATACTCTCAAGAAAGTTCTCTCAGCCTTAATGGTTTTTAGCTGTGAATATTTTTAGTGATGTAGCGGTTTTAATGAACTAACTCAAAATGTGTCAAGAACTGATGTTCTTTATTTGATACACAGAAGGGTTCTAGTCTAATAAATACTACTTTAACGTAGGACAAAATAAACTAAACCAGTTCAATAAAAACTTTATATCTTTGATGAAATAAGATGAAATTGCATTATAACAGCTTGTAAATCAATCGTATACAGACAAAATTCATTTAACTCTTAGTTTCCGAGGTTAGCTGTATTCATTCAACTGTGTACACACGTGGTGATACACATATGAGCATCCAAATAAGATTACACCTAATTTTTGGCCCTGTAAAATTGAGTTTGTTCATCCACTTGCGACACTCACAGCAAAGGTGAATAAAATTTCATGGCCTTATGATTTTATCTATATATTCTCATAGAAATTTTGTAGTCATTTATACACGCTTATTCTGAGATTCAAGTAGATATCTTATCAAAGTAGAAAATACATTAAGTGACTACGAAGTCCCCGCTGATTATAGATTTAGTATAAATTAGGTGGTAATATATGTATTGAGCACAGAAAAATGAGCCTGAAATCAAACTTTCGAATGATCCCATAATATAGAGCGACCTTAAATTATAGTTGAAGCATGAAACACTCAATTAAAAGTGTAAAATGTCAAAGCAAGAGGCATTCTGTTTCTTCCTTTTAGAATTCGGATTGGTAGCATTGCAAACAAGTAAGTGTGTTGGATTACACACATCTGACCAGTTAAGAGTAGCTTTTCTACCAAATACTATGCGCGGCGTTGGCTTTATGTAATAAAGAGTCATTCCATCGTTATCACAGTATCTACAACATTAATAATCAGAATTTTCTATTATGTTAGGGGAATAATAACCCAAGCTTGAACACTCGTCTGAGATATGATTAAGAACTAAAGTATGGTCATATGACATTACAGTCAAGAAATTGAGCGACCAAGATAGATTCTTTCCGACAACAACGTACTTTATTTATTGAGGCTTGTAATATCCCCTTGTTATACTGAATCGAATTGATGGATATATATATATATATATATATATATATATATATATATATATATATATATATATATACTAGAATGTACAGCTTGAGAATAAATTCGTTGAAAAGAGTCCTCTTCGCTGAACATTAGGATATCCACACAGGGGTTCATATGCCAACAGAGGTCGACGAATTCTACTCAGTATAACAGTGGGAAGTTACAAGTACCAGTAAATAACAATAATTGATGCCCGTTGCACTAGAAATAGCTCTTGTATACCAGTGGCCTAGTGAATGATGCTATGAAGTTTGAAGTGATTGGTCCGAGTCTCAGTGGATACGTCGTCGCTTACCTGCGTGCAGGTACATTCAGCTGAGGAGTCCCAGACAGGGTGAAACGCGCATCCTGGGTTCCACTACTATTCACCAACAAGCAAGTATGACTTACACTGTTGAAACCAATTTGTAGGGATTTTTATTTTAGAAATATTGCGCAATAAAAATTTCAGTACCGGACAACACAAAAACTTTCACTGATAAACAACTATTATACTAGAATTACGAAAAAAAAATAGTATACTGCTTTCGTTTTCTGTTTTCTTTTGATGCGTGGTGGGTTGGAAAACATGTTATTTCTCTTTTACTGAATAACATTCTGGTTTGTGACAGCTCCCTGATCGGGTTGAAGCTTCTAAACTGAAGTTACCTAGAATCCATGCATACCTATTATCATCACAGATTTTAACTGTTTTCAGACTTGCACTCTTCTAGTTTTTAAATAATTTTGACAACTCTGATAATGATAAGAACTGGCTGACAAAAGGAACTATATGTTCGTTCTCAGTCAACTTTACAACACTACTGTTATAATAGTGCTGTAAATCAGAAATCCATAATCCTTCCGTGGCTGTTAACATTCGACATGCAAATGTCACACAACAGTATCAGCTTATTTAAATCAGTAAGTATGCTGCGCAACTTTAAATAATAAATCGTGGAAGAATGACTCAATACTCTAGGCAATCTAATTCACTTCTAATAGTTTCAAATTCACTTCACTTCACCTACTTCGATCTAAGTAAAAGTGTTAAAAACACCGTCACATAATAATAGATGTAGCCCATAGCTTTCTTGTACTCAGTTATGCATGATTGCTGTTACGTTGTATTATCAGTAGACTTCGGTTAGCACTAATAACTGTAGCATAAAACTGATAACCATTCAGAAATGTGGAGAATGAAATTAGTTTCCTTTACAACCAATTCATGTCATTTTCACAACTATGTGCTGAATTTGGGAATTATAAGGATTCAGTGATCTTTTATGAAAGTTTACCTTAGCACAGACGTTTATCAGTCAGTATATTACTATCAAGACGAAACTTCTTACCATTTCTACCAAAGATCTTCTTCTCAAAGGAAAGTATTTCTATGAGTGGGGGGAAACGAGTCATGTTTTAAAACAGCTTATCTTTTATTGACGTCTAGTAACAATGAACCTGACATCTCTTCTCATCCTTAGTTAACGCTTGCGAACTGAATTTTCACGCATGATAATAGTTCCTAATGTGACTCACATATATTATTCATTGTTTCAAATATCATAACGCAACTGAATGGGCTAGACGGTCGTGACATTACAGCTTATGTAAGCATGACAGACATAATGGATTCTAGTTTCTTGTTGATCATGTCTTTGATAGAGGTGACTCAATCGCTGTTCACTTATAAATAATAATGGCATGTATTTCTCCGCGGTGTAATAAAATTCAAGTATAAGGATGGATTACATTGAGTCAGTGAACGTAAAAAACGGGAAATCCTAAACACAAACAAAAATAGTCGAGGTACACGAATATATTTAAATGCGGACCATAACGGACTGTATCATAAAGAATAAATGCTATTCCATGATTTTAATTCTTCATATCGCAAAACATGTCTATTAAACACATTACTAATATATATATTTGGATTTAGTTCCAATAAACACTTGAATATTGACACCAATTTAAAAGTATCAACATCAGACAAATAAATAACAATTGCGAACTATTATTTAAAACACATAGGAAAGGATTTTGTTTCAATAAATTTCAAAAATAGCAGTGAATAACAATTAGAAAATTAGATTGAATCATACATGCTTTTTACAAAAAATAGAGAGAATGAGAAGTAATTTACGATACTTAGAATACCGTTACTAGTAAACAAATGATAAAAATGAAATTTTGATCAATTTCAAGAAAAAAGGTTCAAGAAAAGCATTAATTGTTCACAAAATTTGTATGAAATTAAGCATGATAAGTATGAGAGTAAAAAAGTTATTCACGTCTCCATAACAAGTTTACTTAGCATTTATCAACGGCCAACATACAGCAAGAGTGGAAAAGATAACTTTCAATAAAATATTGACTGAATAGTCTATGAAAGAAATTTCAAAACTATGTAGAACTTAAAAAAGACGAATTGCATTTTTGAGGTAAATTTAGCTATTAGTTTTCATCAATATACTTCCATGCTTTTGAATTCACACTTGACCTTTTCAATGTTTTGTCAATATAACTTGGCATAGTTCCATTATCATTGGCCACAGAAGTAGGAATAAGAACTGATGCAGAATCTGTACATTGGTCTAGCCTACCAGTATCGTATGAAATTATATTTTGTTGATTATGATTTGATTGTTCATTCATTTCACTGCTATCAACACTTTGTCTACGCCATGCACCAATTAATACAATATCACTGTCTGGATTCGATGTTAAACATAAGCGTTCTGGACTAGCAGATCGTAAGTTTAAGCCACAATCACATGATGAATTAACACCGGTTGTCAGTAGGGCTTCTTCAGCTAATATCTTAGCTCTTTCATGTTGTCTTCTTCGTAGTTCAAGACGCTTTTGTAATGCTGGTGATATTCTTATCCGAGAGGATGAGTTGGTACCATCCTCGTTAACATGCTCTTCTTCTGTTGTCGAAGAATCATGTTTATTTTTCAAAGACCTAAATCTCTTCCGCGATAGCGCCGAAGGATGTAAATTATCATCGTTTTCTTCAATATGTGTTAAGGTTATAGTACCGGAATATTTACTACGGCGACGCCTTATCCAAACCATGAAAAGGATGAAAGATAAGAATAACATCATCACCAGAATACATAATAAAATGAAACCCATTGTAAAACCTTGTTTAAACATAAGCGGATTCACCTGAGGTACATTTAAAGCAATGGGATTAATGCTACTTCGCGATGAAGAAACTGAGGATGTGAAAGTATTCGCAAAAACTGACACATCCAAATTCGAGCCAAAAGAATCATCAAAATCAGATTTACCAATATTGTTCAAACGTAAAAGCGGAGTGGAAACTTCAGGGATATAAGTAGATGCAAGACTGGAAACATGCGAATTCTCAGTAGAGGTGCCAACAAACAAAGTAACCAAAGACAAATTCGAAATATTCTCATGAAAAGGAAAAACATCACCAAACGGATAAAAACCATCAGAGAAAGCGGTGTCAGCACCCAAATCCCCATCCACTGGTATATTCACTGTCTCCGATGACACTGGTGGAGACACATCTGCTGAGACTGTCGAGTCTCCACTCAACTCCAAACTCACTGGCACATCCACTGTCTCCGATGACACTGGTGGAGACACATCTGCTGAGACTGTCGAGTCTCCACTCAACTCCAAACTCACTGGCACATCCACTGTCTCCGATGACACTGGTGGAGACACATCTGCTGAGACTGTCGAGTCTCCACTCAACTCCAAACTCACTGGCACATCCACTGTCTCCGATGACACTGGTGGAGACACATCTGCTGAGACTGTCGAGTCTCCACTCAACTCCAAACTCACTGGCACATCCACTGTCTCCGATGACACTGGTGGAGACACATCTGCTGAGACTGTCGAGTCTCCACTCAACTCCAAACTCACTGGCACATCCACTGTCTCCGATGACACTGGTGGAGACACATCTGCTGAGACTGTCGAGTCTCCACTCAACTCCAAACTCACTGGCACATCCACTGTCTCCGATGACACTGGTGGAGACACATCTGCTGAGACTGTCGAGTCTCCACTCAACTCCAAACTCACTGGCACATCCACTGTCTCCGATGACACTGGTGGAGACACATCTGCTGAGACTGTCGAGTCTCCACTCAACTCCAAACTCACTGGCACATCCACTGTCTCCGATGACACTGGTGGAGACACATCTGCTGAGACTGTCGAGTCTCCACTCAACTCCAAACTCACTGGCACATCCACTGTCTCCGATGACACTGGTGGAGACACATCTGCTGAGACTGTCGAGTCTCCACTCAACTCCAAACTCACTGGCACATCCACTGTCTCCGATGACACTGGTGGAGACACATCTGCTGAGACTGTCGAGTCTCCACTCAACTCCAAACTCACTGGCACATCCACTGTCTCCGATGACACTGGTGGAGACACATCTGCTGAGACTGTCGAGTCTCCACTCAACTCCAAACTCACTGGCACATCCACTGTCTCCGATGACACTGGTGGAGACACATCTGCTGAGACTGTCGAGTCTCCACTCAACTCCAAACTCACTGGCACATCCACTGTCTCCGATGACACTGGTGGAGACACATCTGCTGAGACTGTCGAGTCTCCACTCAACTCCAAACTCACTGGCACATCCACTGTCTCCGATGACACTGGTGGAGACACATCTGCTGAGACTGTCGAGTCTCCACTCAACTCCAAACTCACTGGCACATCCACTGTCTCCGATGACACTGGTGGAGACACATCTGCTGAGACTGTCGAGTCTCCACTCAACTCCAAACTCACTGGCACATCCACTGTCTCCGATGACACTGGTGGAGACACATCTGCTGAGACTGTCGAGTCTCCACTCAACTCCAAACTCACTGGCACATCCACTGTCTCCGATGACACTGGTGGAGACACATCTGCTGAGACTGTCGAGTCTCCACTCAACTCCAAACTCACTGGCACATCCACTGTCTCCGATGACACTGGTGGAGACACATCTGCTGAGACTGTCGAGTCTCCACTCAACTCCAAACTCACTGGCACATCCACTGTCTCCGATGACACTGGTGGAGACACATCTGCTGAGACTGTCGAGTCTCCACTCAACTCCAAACTCACTGGCACATCCACTGTCTCCGATGACACTGGTGGAGACACATCTGCTGAGACTGTCGAGTCTCCACTCAACTCCAAACTCACTGGCACATCCACTGTCTCCGATGACACTGGTGGAGACACATCTGCTGAGACTGTCGAGTCTCCACTCAACTCCAAACTCACTGGCACATCCACTGTCTCCGATGACACTGGTGGAGACACATCTGCTGAGACTGTCGAGTCTCCACTCAACTCCAAACTCACTGGCACATCCACTGTCTCCGATGACACTGGTGGAGACACATCTGCTGAGACTGTCGAGTCTCCACTCAACTCCAAACTCACTGGCACATCCACTGTCTCCGATGACACTGGTGGAGACACATCTGCTGAGACTGTCGAGTCTCCACTCAACTCCAAACTCACTGGCACATCCACTGTCTCCGATGACACTGGTGGAGACACATCTGCTGAGACTGTCGAGTCTCCACTCAACTCCAAACTCACTGGCACATCCACTGTCTCCGATGACACTGGTGGAGACACATCTGCTGAGACTGTCGAGTCTCCACTCAACTCCAAACTCACTGGCACATCCACTGTCTCCGATGACACTGGTGGAGACACATCTGCTGAGACTGTCGAGTCTCCACTCAACTCCAAACTCACTGGCACATCCACTGTCTCCGATGACACTGGTGGAGACACATCTGCTGAGACTGTCGAGTCTCCACTCAACTCCAAACTCACTGGCACATCCACTGTCTCCGATGACACTGGTGGAGACACATCTGCTGAGACTGTCGAGTCTCCACTCAACTCCAAACTCACTGGCACATCCACTGTCTCCGATGACACTGGTGGAGACACATCTGCTGAGACTGTCGAGTCTCCACTCAACTCCAAACTCACTGGCACATCCACTGTCTCCGATGACACTGGTGGAGACACATCTGCTGAGACTGTCGAGTCTCCACTCAACTCCAAACTCACTGGCACATCCACTGTCTCCGATGACACTGGTGGAGACACATCTGCTGAGACTGTCGAGTCTCCACTCAACTCCAAACTCACTGGCACATCCACTGTCTCCGATGACACTGGTGGAGACACATCTGCTGAGACTGTCGAGTCTCCACTCAACTCCAAACTCACTGGCACATCCACTGTCTCCGATGACACTGGTGGAGACACATCTGCTGAGACTGTCGAGTCTCCACTCAACTCCAAACTCACTGGCACATCCACTGTCTCCGATGACACTGGTGGAGACACATCTGCTGAGACTGTCGAGTCTCCACTCAACTCCAAACTCACTGGCACATCCACTGTCTCCGATGACACTGGTGGAGACACATCTGCTGAGACTGTCGAGTCTCCACTCAACTCCAAACTCACTGGCACATCCACTGTCTCCGATGACACTGGTGGAGACACATCTGCTGAGACTGTCGAGTCTCCACTCAACTCCAAACTCACTGGCACATCCACTGTCTCCGATGACACTGGTGGAGACACATCTGCTGAGACTGTCGAGTCTCCACTCAACTCCAAACTCACTGGCACATCCACTGTCTCCGATGACACTGGTGGAGACACATCTGCTGAGACTGTCGAGTCTCCACTCAACTCCAAACTCACTGGCACATCCACTGTCTCCGATGACACTGGTGGAGACACATCTGCTGAGACTGTCGAGTCTCCACTCAACTCCAAACTCACTGGCACATCCACTGTCTCCGATGACACTGGTGGAGACACATCTGCTGAGACTGTCGAGTCTCCACTCAACTCCAAACTCACTGGCACATCCACTGTCTCCGATGACACTGGTGGAGACACATCTGCTGAGACTGTCGAGTCTCCACTCAACTCCAAACTCACTGGCACATCCACTGTCTCCGATGACACTGGTGGAGACACATCTGCTGAGACTGTCGAGTCTCCACTCAACTCCAAACTCACTGGCACATCCACTGTCTCCGATGACACTGGTGGAGACACATCTGCTGAGACTGTCGAGTCTCCACTCAACTCCAAACTCACTGGCACATCCACTGTCTCCGATGACACTGGTGGAGACACATCTGCTGAGACTGTCGAGTCTCCACTCAACTCCAAACTCACTGGCACATCCACTGTCTCCGATGACACTGGTGGAGACACATCTGCTGAGACTGTCGAGTCTCCACTCAACTCCAAACTCACTGGCACATCCACTGTCTCCGATGACACTGGTGGAGACACATCTGCTGAGACTGTCGAGTCTCCACTCAACTCCAAACTCACTGGCACATCCACTGTCTCCGATGACACTGGTGGAGACACATCTGCTGAGACTGTCGAGTCTCCACTCAACTCCAAACTCACTGGCACATCCACTGTCTCCGATGACACTGGTGGAGACACATCTGCTGAGACTGTCGAGTCTCCACTCAACTCCAAACTCACTGGCACATCCACTGTCTCCGATGACACTGGTGGAGACACATCTGCTGAGACTGTCGAGTCTCCACTCAACTCCAAACTCACTGGCACATCCACTGTCTCCGATGACACTGGTGGAGACACATCTGCTGAGACTGTCGAGTCTCCACTCAACTCCAAACTCACTGGCACATCCACTGTCTCCGATGACACTGGTGGAGACACATCTGCTGAGACTGTCGAGTCTCCACTCAACTCCAAACTCACTGGCACATCCACTGTCTCCGATGACACTGGTGGAGACACATCTGCTGAGACTGTCGAGTCTCCACTCAACTCCAAACTCACTGGCACATCCACTGTCTCCGATGACACTGGTGGAGACACATCTGCTGAGACTGTCGAGTCTCCACTCAACTCCAAACTCACTGGCACATCCACTGTCTCCGATGACACTGGTGGAGACACATCTGCTGAGACTGTCGAGTCTCCACTCAACTCCAAACTCACTGGCACATCCACTGTCTCCGATGACACTGGTGGAGACACATCTGCTGAGACTGTCGAGTCTCCACTCAACTCCAAACTCACTGGCACATCCACTGTCTCCGATGACACTGGTGGAGACACATCTGCTGAGACTGTCGAGTCTCCACTCAACTCCAAACTCACTGGCACATCCACTGTCTCCGATGACACTGGTGGAGACACATCTGCTGAGACTGTCGAGTCTCCACTCAACTCCAAACTCACTGGCACATCCACTGTCTCCGATGACACTGGTGGAGACACATCTGCTGAGACTGTCGAGTCTCCACTCAACTCCAAACTCACTGGCACATCCACTGTCTCCGATGACACTGGTGGAGACACATCTGCTGAGACTGTCGAGTCTCCACTCAACTCCAAACTCACTGGCACATCCACTGTCTCCGATGACACTGGTGGAGACACATCTGCTGAGACTGTCGAGTCTCCACTCAACTCCAAACTCACTGGCACATCCACTGTCTCCGATGACACTGGTGGAGACACATCTGCTGAGACTGTCGAGTCTCCACTCAACTCCAAACTCACTGGCACATCCACTGTCTCCGATGACACTGGTGGAGACACATCTGCTGAGACTGTCGAGTCTCCACTCAACTCCAAACTCACTGGCACATCCACTGTCTCCGATGACACTGGTGGAGACACATCTGCTGAGACTGTCGAGTCTCCACTCAACTCCAAACTCACTGGCACATCCACTGTCTCCGATGACACTGGTGGAGACACATCTGCTGAGACTGTCGAGTCTCCACTCAACTCCAAACTCACTGGCACATCCACTGTCTCCGATGACACTGGTGGAGACACATCTGCTGAGACTGTCGAGTCTCCACTCAACTCCAAACTCACTGGCACATCCACTGTCTCCGATGACACTGGTGGAGACACATCTGCTGAGACTGTCGAGTCTCCACTCAACTCCAAACTCACTGGCACATCCACTGTCTCCGATGACACTGGTGGAGACACATCTGCTGAGACTGTCGAGTCTCCACTCAACTCCAAACTCACTGGCACATCCACTGTCTCCGATGACACTGGTGGAGACACATCTGCTGAGACTGTCGAGTCTCCACTCAACTCCAAACTCACTGGCACATCCACTGTCTCCGATGACACTGGTGGAGACACATCTGCTGAGACTGTCGAGTCTCCACTCAACTCCAAACTCACTGGCACATCCACTGTCTCCGATGACACTGGTGGAGACACATCTGCTGAGACTGTCGAGTCTCCACTCAACTCCAAACTCACTGGCACATCCACTGTCTCCGATGACACTGGTGGAGACACATCTGCTGAGACTGTCGAGTCTCCACTCAACTCCAAACTCACTGGCACATCCACTGTCTCCGATGACACTGGTGGAGACACATCTGCTGAGACTGTCGAGTCTCCACTCAACTCCAAACTCACTGGCACATCCACTGTCTCCGATGACACTGGTGGAGACACATCTGCTGAGACTGTCGAGTCTCCACTCAACTCCAAACTCACTGGCACATCCACTGTCTCCGATGACACTGGTGGAGACACATCTGCTGAGACTGTCGAGTCTCCACTCAACTCCAAACTCACTGGCACATCCACTGTCTCCGATGACACTGGTGGAGACACATCTGCTGAGACTGTCGAGTCTCCACTCAACTCCAAACTCACTGGCACATCCACTGTCTCCGATGACACTGGTGGAGACACATCTGCTGAGACTGTCGAGTCTCCACTCAACTCCAAACTCACTGGCACATCCACTGTCTCCGATGACACTGGTGGAGACACATCTGCTGAGACTGTCGAGTCTCCACTCAACTCCAAACTCACTGGCACATCCACTGTCTCCGATGACACTGGTGGAGACACATCTGCTGAGACTGTCGAGTCTCCACTCAACTCCAAACTCACTGGCACATCCACTGTCTCCGATGACACTGGTGGAGACACATCTGCTGAGACTGTCGAGTCTCCACTCAACTCCAAACTCACTGGCACATCCACTGTCTCCGATGACACTGGTGGAGACACATCTGCTGAGACTGTCGAGTCTCCACTCAACTCCAAACTCACTGGCACATCCACTGTCTCCGATGACACTGGTGGAGACACATCTGCTGAGACTGTCGAGTCTCCACTCAACTCCAAACTCACTGGCACATCCACTGTCTCCGATGACACTGGTGGAGACACATCTGCTGAGACTGTCGAGTCTCCACTCAACTCCAAACTCACTGGCACATCCACTGTCTCCGATGACACTGGTGGAGACACATCTGCTGAGACTGTCGAGTCTCCACTCAACTCCAAACTCACTGGCACATCCACTGTCTCCGATGACACTGGTGGAGACACATCTGCTGAGACTGTCGAGTCTCCACTCAACTCCAAACTCACTGGCACATCCACTGTCTCCGATGACACTGGTGGAGACACATCTGCTGAGACTGTCGAGTCTCCACTCAACTCCAAACTCACTGGCACATCCACTGTCTCCGATGACACTGGTGGAGACACATCTGCTGAGACTGTCGAGTCTCCACTCAACTCCAAACTCACTGGCACATCCACTGTCTCCGATGACACTGGTGGAGACACATCTGCTGAGACTGTCGAGTCTCCACTCAACTCCAAACTCACTGGCACATCCACTGTCTCCGATGACACTGGTGGAGACACATCTGCTGAGACTGTCGAGTCTCCACTCAACTCCAAATCACTGGCACATCCACTGTCTCCGTGACACTGGTGGAGACACATCTGCTGAGACTGTCGAGTCTCCACTCAACTCCAAACTCACTGGCACATCCACTGTCTCCGATGACACTGGTGGAGACACATCTGCTGAGACTGTCGAGTCTCCACTCAACTCCAAACTCACTGGCACATCCACTGTCTCCGATGACACTGGTGGAGACACATCTGCTGAGACTGTCGAGTCTCCACTCAACTCCAAACTCACTGGCACATCCACTGTCTCCGATGACACTGGTGGAGACACATCTGCTGAGACTGTCGAGTCTCCACTCAACTCCAAACTCACTGGCAACTCCTCTCTCTCCGATTTTGACTGAATTGTTTTTCCTTTTTTTGTGGACATGTATTTGTTTATTCCATCGTCGTTCGTCTCGACTATATATATTTTTTCTATATTTATTTCGCTCGTGTTTGCTAACATCCATGTATGCTTTTTTTGTGAGTGTTTTTTGCTTGATTCTCTTAGGTAGGAGTTTTTCGACAATTCTTTGTTTGTTTCGTCGTCATGCGGCGTGGATTCTGTTCCTTTCTCAATCGTTTTTGAGTCCATAAGTACTTTATTTTCTTTCTTTATCATGGTTGTAGAACATTCTTCATCGGTGCATGAAGTTCTAGTTGAGTGCCGTTGACTTTTCCACTCTGCATCTGTAAACTCGTGAGCTACAGAAGTAGATGAATATGTTCTCTGTTCACTTTTGGTTGTTATCGCTTCTTCTTCAGTAGATTTTTCGTCTATTGCGAAGTCTGTCAATGCTGATTCGCTATTATTGTCATAATCATTATCATTATGAATTACATTAGTAGAGGTCATTTCATCATCTAAGTTATCATTCAATTGCTTACCGTTGGAACTGGATATTATATCAGTAGACAAATTGATTGTTTCTTGTTGAATGGGGAAAGTATTTACATTTGTAAGTTTGAACAGTATAATCAAGATGGTTGCCAACATTATCATCATCATTTTAAGTAAAGTTATTGGATATAATCCAGGCATCATGGAAGATAATGATGTTATCTTCTTTTAATGAAATAATAGCTCTTGCCCATAGTGATTCTCAAGAGAAGTAATGATAGCTTATTAGTGTTTATTTTTAATTCCATGACAAAGTAACAAGGAAAGACAAAGTTACGTGGATTTGCGATGATGCAATTGTTAAAAAAGGGTAATCACCTCCTTCCTTGTGAATACTTATTTGCCCAAAATATGTCTCTTCACCTGAATATTTATATCCACTATGTAATCTGGACACAAACAAGTGAACAGTTTTTTCGAAGTGAAAACGTTTTGCGTGGGTACAGACAAATAAGAACAAAGTTAGCACATGTATAAAAGTCTATTTGTTTGCTTGTTAGGTACGAACATATGACTTATCTCTTGCATAAAAGTGGTTGTGCACACTTTATACAAGCATCATTTTTATATGAGCAGAAAAGTAAATGCTTATGCATGTATGTCCACGTTAAGCAAACTTGAAGTCAATCTTAAGCAGTCATTTCAATTTTCTTATTGTTTCTCTCTTCAGGAATGATAATTAGTATGTCAAACTACGATTTTTGATCACAGCTCCGAAGGGATACGCACAATAACAAAAAGCAAGACAAAATGAATTGATTTTACATAAATGACATTATGCATTGATAAATCCCCTAGTTAAGGCGTAAGTTTACATGTAGATTCGATAAATAAATAAAACGTAATGCGGAACATCAATAGACATTACCAGAAATAATTTTAGTGAAAATTTTTCATAATATATTCCTACATCATTATGAGCAAACGAATTTCAAAATCAATGACTGTTCTTTGAGGTGAACCCCATAATCAAATAAAAAAGATTGGCTGTATAAAAACCATTCTATTATGCAGAATTCCTTCAATAATTTGTGAACTTAGCGTCAATTTTCCTCGTTCAAAAGCAACCATTTCAGTAAAAAAAAACCCATTAAAGAACTATCGAGTTTGATTAGTGTCAAAGTATTCCTTTTAATTACAAATTGATGTCAGCTGGAGAGTTATTGAAAACCTGTGTACAGAGGACAAGTGTTCTTCTCATCTCTAGCCTCTTAGCATTGGTAAAGTGTCTGTCCATAAGTGAACAGTAGCGATTTGGTTGACTAAACTTACAGTTTCTGTAAATAATATCCAATTAGTTTCTCGTTAACTGATTAGACAAGTATACATGACAATCGAAAGTTATTTCCTGCGAATAAAAATAAGCACTGATAAATCATAACAATAATTACAACGACGAAAGTTCTTATAGTGATAGTAACAGTTAAAATGTGAACAATAATTAAGATTTTATCATAGACAGAATCGCTCATATAATGCATACGGCTCAGAAAGGTGTTAAGGGATAAAAATATTCAACCAAAGAAGTATCATGTCATAGGGTGATACAAGCTGGTTAAAACAGAATAAATGTTTCTCTTAAAAGACTACGACGGTTAAATGAAGCAGCACTGGAAACTGTCCAATAAAAATGTTTTCACGCATTTAGAATTTATAGGTGATCGAGCATCTAATAGATTGAAGAACCATCTTTGTAATCCAATCAAAAGAACTTTATTCGCAGAAAAACTTAAAATGACTATTACTAACCGTAATCTACTCTGCGTTTATGTGAACTATAAGCTTTTTCATTTAGTTCCCTCTATACGCATCCACCAGTTCATCTTTTTTTTATAGGACAAGGTGTATTGGCCATGTTCAGAGGATGCTTTCTTCATCCAGGATATTCTGGATCCGGCTTGTTTAGTTGCTGGGACTCGTCAGCAAGAGGAAACTACGACCTCAAGGGAACTGGCGTCTCATGTAAGATCTAAACTCATGTCACTCAGTGGTTTGGTCAGAGGTGTGACCACTGAGGTATTCAGTCCAACGTATAGCTACGTTAGTAGGTAGTGTGAGTTAGAATTTCCAAGGGCACACTAATTACCTTGAGAGTGGAGAAATACCTCACTAACAAGTGCTAACTTTCACAAAACCTATGTCCATGGCTTCCTGCCGATTGCCTTCATCCTTTTGATATCAATTATAGTGCACCTCCTACCTTTTTGACCTTGTTGTAAAGTGATTGATCAAATTCGACAAGCACTCAGGGAGGAAGTGGAGAAACCTTTAAAAGACTACTTCATGTGGTAATTAATATTACAGGGATAACGATCAATGTCAGAATAAATTTAGCTTCGTGACACGATCTGAACCACAGGTCTTATGACCAGCCACCACGGTCTCAATCAAGCAAACCTAGCTCAGACAATAAATTTCGTAGCTTTTTTCAAACCAAAACTTCTTAACCATATGAGACAACTATTCTCATAATATGTACATTATCACTCAGAAAAATGGTCGTTGTTGACATTAAATAATAGTGAATACAAACAAAATTTAAAAAAGTATGATGCATATAGGTTGTAAATATGAAGATAAATTAGAAATAAATGTCACTTACTGAAATTTTGTGTAAATACGACTGAGGCACAGTTTTTAAAAATCTTTTCAGGCTAGTCATTTAAACTGTACTTAATATAACAGTATCAAAACGAAAAATAATTCTTTTCGATGAAGTTAGCCGTAGTAGTATACGGCCAAAAGTTAATGTGTTCATCAAACATGTCATACGGTTTTATTTCACTGTAGATCTTAAAGGGAATCTATGTCCTCCACATTCAGTATCAAGGTACCTATATGAAACTGAGACCTACTTTTCAAACCAATTTTGTCTATCCTTTGTAGAAGTGGTCAAATGTTTCTCATTCTCTGTATTCGTTTACAATTTTAAAACAGTCTATCATATTCTATAGTATGACTCCATAAAACCTTTAAGTCTGCCTTTTTCCAATACTAAGCATGCTTAGGAGGCTGTGATATTCAGGACTAAGTTAAGTTCCAATGCCCTAGAAGATTAAGTGATCATGATAGACCATTCTTAACTATGTGAGCTGACGGTCATTACAAACAATTTGATACTTTACAATACTTCGTCTCGTGGGCTCCATAAGATACCTTAGTGGATAGCTTTGTATTCAAGTCGGTTTATAGGTTTAGATGTCACCTGAACTCAGCCTTAGGAAGAATATGATGCAAGGTATCTAATGGTAAGACTGAAAATGTTTATATCCTTTAATATTTAAATCATACTATGGGATTATAAGCGATTCCAAACAACGGTATTCCTCTCACTGTACAACTTTATATAACTTTTTATTCTGATTCTCTGTATATATTTTAGGACCAGAAGGATGGATGGCTTCAAGTGAAATAGGATCTGGTTGTTATACTGAATGTCTTGCCAGTATAGTAGATCAAATGTGTCGTAAATCACCTTATTCAAGAACTGTTCAACTTTTCAGTCTTGTAAATGATTCAAATAAAAATAAAATGCAGAATTTTACTTGTCAGTTGGTTTCAGTTTTAAGAGGACGAATAATTCCTTATAGTCTCCGAAGGCTGCTATGGCCTCTGGCATTATTCACAGTTTCCAATTGGGCTAGATCAGAATTTGAAAATAAAAATGAAACTATTTGGGATGGACCAAGAATGAGGTAATTCTAATACTTTCTAATCATTCTCTTTACTTCATGATCTCCAATAAAACAAAAAGAAGACATCAGAAAAAAGTACTCCGTTTATCATGGCTAAACTTTTTCGACAGCTAGAGAATTGAGGTGTAGTGAGCACCCGAGTGAAGCTAACATACGATTCAAATATTTGATACTGGATAGCTGACAAAAAGGAAGAGACCCTTTTATTAGGAACAGTCTGCTTAATATGTTCAATCATAATTGTAATCTGGCCTAGTAACCAGGGAATTTCATTCTTCCATCTCCTAGTTGCAATAAAATAAGATGAATCTGTAAAACTATCACCAAGCAGTCCTGATATAGTGGACAGTTGATGTATTTTCATCATAATATTCAGTATGTTCCTTTTTCTGCAGTTTGAAAAATCTGTGTACAAGATAGTGTAGAAAAAAAAAACTAAACTTTTAAGGCCAAGTTCTGTATATATTACTTTTGGAGTGAAATCAAATTACTCCGTAATCTAGAAGCTCAGAACTTCAATTACATTTATACCTACATTCCTCAAAGTGGTATTTTTTTAATGCCAAGGAAAGTAACTATTTCTTAAAGATCAGTAAATGCGTAACCTGGAATGATAACTCAAATTTAATTGGTAGAATTTAGTTAACCCCTCCGACTGCATAGTTTGGCACTACTTAATGCCTAGTGACTGATGAACTTACTATATAGCTTTAAAATCATTTGAAGTTCGAAGAAGGCACTTATCACTACAAAACTCAACAGTACCAGAGAAGTTATGCAAAAGATTGAATAGTAAGGTTTTACTCAGGTTTTACTCCATAAGAACAACCCATACTACTGTACTGTTTGCTTTAGGTACAAGTAATAATAACCGACTGAGTGTAAGTGTATATCTTCATCGATTCCCTTAGAATCAGATACATGGAACGCTAATCTTTAGACACTCGATTCAACTTCCTAGGGCCCATTCAATCATCTAGTGAATGGCTGAATCCTGTAATGTAACAGAAAACAAACTCACTGACAAGTTAGATCTGACCGAATTATAGATAGAAGTGGGCAAAACACCAGCTTTTCCAGCACTTTCAGTGTAAAGGCTTCAACCTATCTTAGGAACAATATTATATACAAATTCTTTGATGTTTCTCATTTTACTACAATATAGAACTTTCGTATTGAACAAAACGATCTACTTTCCTTTCTTACCTTCTCAGTTGTTGGCATCCGTGTTAGCATTTTCTCATTGAAATACAATTCGGAATAAACTGCTTTTAAAACAGTCCACAGAATTCTCTGCCTTGCTTACTTGTCATATTTGTAACCTTTGATCTGTTGCACATAGTTGTTTGCACAATTCATTTAATTTATGACGGTAATGTTGTTTGGACTCTCCCCACCATAAACTTAATAAGTCACGCCAATATAAAGACATTTTTCAGATGGCGGTCTTGCCAAGACTTATTATCTCCTTCAATACGCATGATTGTTTAAAGCCACCTGAACATCTTGCCCTTATTATTTCCAAGGATCATAAATTCTGTCAAAAGTAAAAGACAGGTATGATGTCGCCTGATTGGTCCCGGGTTCGAGTCCTTGAGGGGAAAACATTGCTCACTGACAAGTAGGCACATCCAACTGACGAGTCTCAAACAGAAAGGAACGCGCGTCCTTGATTTCAACTGCCAGCTACCATCTATCACAAATAGAAGACAGGCAGTTTTAAATTCATTTGGTGAACCTAAGGCACAGAACTTTTATTCTCAAAACTATTATTATTATTATTATTATTATTAGTCCCTTGGGTTCTTAGTCGAACATAGGGCTTCAGTAGCACGCCTCCAGTGACCTCTGTTCTCTGAGATCTTTTGAACCTGGTTCCACAACAGCCCAGAAACTCTCACTTCCTCCTCGCATGACCTCCTCCATGTCACCCTCGGCACCGACGTCCAACTCGCCACTTCCCATGGGGATTCCACTCGAGCAACTGGCCTGACGCATGATGTCCTCAGTCGGCCTTCTCAGTGCATGGCCAATCCATCTCCACTTCTTCCTGCATATTTGTTGGGTGATAGGTTCTTGGTTGGTTCGTTCCGCCAGAGTTCCTTGTTGCTTATTCTCATTATTCTGACCATCTGATCTTCAGTAGCGAGCGTAAGCAGTTGTTGATGAATGTCTGTAGTTTATTGGAAATGCCTTTCGTAACGCGCCAAGTCTCTGAACCATACAGAAGCACTGACTTGCCGTTGGTGTTGAAAATCCGGATCTTGTTCCACTTCATGCTGAGTGCAGAAGATCTCCACACTGGTTTCAGGCTAATGAACGCCTCTCTTGCTTTTCCGATTCTGACTTTGACATCCTCGTCTGTCCCGCCTGTAGTTGAGGCAGTGCTTCCTAGATAGGTGAAGGAGGTTACTTCCTTCAAGTTTCTTCCGTTGATGGTGACTGGAGTAATTGTTGTTGTTGATGGTGGTGGTGCGGTATCTTCATCACTTCTGTCTTCTCTATATTCACCTGAAGTCCCGTCTTCGCTGCCTCTTCTGTCAACGTGTTAGTTTTCGCCAGTAGATCTTCAAGTTTGTGTGACATCAGGCACAAGTCATCGTTGGCGAAAACCAAGTCTTCTAGGTTCTTTTCCGTCGTCCAGTGTATCCCCCTCTTCTCGCTGCCTACTGTTTGCTGCATGATCCAGTCCACCACAATAAGGAATATCATGGGGGATAGTAGGCAACCTTGTTTCACTCCTGTCTTCACTTCAAAGGCATCACTGAGCTTCCCATTGTGGATTACTTGGCATGTGGCATCTTCATATAGTTGTTGAATGAGGCGGATAAAGGTTTGCGGTACTCCGTAGTATTGAAGCAGTTTCCAAATTACTTCTCGGTCGACGCTGTCAAAGGCCTTCTCGATGTCGATGAAGTTGAGGCAGAGAGCTGATTGCCATTCTATGCTCTGTTCTATGATGATGCGTAGCGTTGCAATTTGGTCTGCACATGATTTGTACTTCCTGAAGCCAGCCTATTCCGGTCGCAGTTTTGAATCCAGTGCATCTTTAAGCCTCTCTAGGATGATGCGGCTTAATATTTTACTTGGGGTGGACAGGAGAGTGATTCCACGCCAGTTCTTGCACACTGAGGTCTCCCTTCTTCGGCAGTTTGACAAGGTAACCCTTCTTCCAATCGTCAGGTACCTTCTCTTCCTTCCACACCTTCTGCAATAGTGGTATGAGCATGTCCGCTGTCGTCTCTGCATCTGTTCTCAGTGCTTCTGGCGGTATTCCATCTGGTCCTGCTGCTTTCCCACATTTCAGTAGCTTTATGGCGTTCAGGACTTCCATTTTCGTTGGGGGATTTATGTTCACTTGTAATTCAGCGGCTGCAGGTGGTATTCCTGGACGAAGTGCAGGTGGTGGTGGTGGTGGTGGTCGACTCAAGAGCTTCTTGAAGTGGTCGGCCCATCGTTTCCTCTGTTTCTCTTCTTTTGTAATTAAATTTCCTTCTTCGTCTTTTATTGGTTTCATCTGTGTTGGTCTCTTCCCTGATAGCAACCTGGTTATTTGATACAATGTCGTCAGGTCTCTCTTACCTGCAGCTTGTTCTGCTTCACTTGCCAGTGTTTCGTAGAAGTGTATTTTGTCTTTACGTGCACTCTTCTTTACTTCTTTGTTCAGTGTTTTATACATTGTGCTCAGTTCCTCTTGTCGTTGAGCATCCTTGCACTGGTTTATCTTCTGCTTCACCATCCTCCTCTCCTCTATCAGCTTCCATGTATCCATCGAGATCCATTCCTCATCTTCTTTCTTCTTCCTTCCTAATACTGTTGTGCAGGTTTCTTTCCACATAGCTTTCAAAGACTTCCAGTGTTCTTCCACACAAGTTTCTTCAGGGATGTCCCTTGATGTCTCTCATTTTGTCTTGATGGCTGCCTTGAAGATCGCCTTTGTAGTTTCATCCTTCAGTTTCCGAGTGTTGTACTTGAATTGAGGTCTATCACCAGCTTCCTTGAAGGCTTTCAACTTGATTTGGAAGGTTCCTTGCACTAGATAGTGGTCTGAACCTACATCTGCTCCTCTTCTTGACCTTGTGTCAAGTAGACTGCGTCTCCATTTTCTCGAGATTGAGATAAAGTCGATTTGATTTTTAGTGTGTCCTGGTGTCTGGTGAAATCCATGTCGCTTTGTGGATATCTTTGTGCCTGAACACACTGCCTCCAATCACCAAATCGTTGAATGCGCAGAATTCTGCAAACAATTCTCCATTCTCATTCATTTCACCTAGCGCCTCTCGACCCATGGTTAGTTCTCTTCCTGTGTTGTCCCCTCCCAGTTTGGCATTCATGTCGCCCATCAGAATTTTGATATCGCCAACTGACGTCTTGTCCAGTGTTGATTGAAGTTGTCTGTAGAAATCCTCCTTTTTCTCTTGCTCTGCATTATTTGTAGGTGCATAACATTGTATGATTGTGACCTTCCTTCCTTGTGAGTTGAATCTTGCTGTCATGATCCTGGAGGAGATTGGTTCCCACTGCATGAGAGCCTTCGATGCTCTTGGGGACATCATGATAGCCACTCCAAAACTCAGTGTGCTCGTGGTTGTCGTCTGGGTGACCGGAGTAGATTATTGATTCTCCAGTTGACAGTTTGCAGAGTCCACTCCCATTCCATCTGCTTTCGCAAATCCCAAGCAATTCGATGTGATACCTTCTCATCTCCTTTGCAATCTGGGTTGCCTTACTGGGTTCAAACATCGTGCGGACATTCCATGTCCCCACGTTTACTTTCGCTTTCATCGAGGGAGAGAAGACACATCGGCCAGTTGGCTTCCCGAAGGCTTTCACCAACTGGTGTCATTTCGCCTCTCCGATTCCAGCGGAGAATAAGTTTGTTTTCATTTTTATATTTTGTTTGTGCTTTGAAGTTTCTTTAGCGGTTAGATTTGTTTTCCAGTGTAGGGTTGCTAGCCGTATGCCCAACCTTCCCTCTTTACCCGGGCTTAGGACCGGCTAGTAACTAGTAAACTAGTTAACCAGGCGAAAACTATAAGAAGTAGTATTTTAGTGATATACATCAATTTGTAAACAAGTATATATGAAATCGTTCAGATACTTTCTAAACTCCAACTTGCAAAGTATGGCGGTTAAGTAAATTGGAACCAAGTAAAGTTTGGAAGATAATTAATCTAAACTAAGCCACAGAGTGTTCAAGTTACTGAGTGTTAAAGATTATCAAAACAATCTAGAATTCCAAGAAAAAACTAGACCATGAAACTCCCCACACCTTACTTCGTTCCTCAGTGTATTTCCTAATACTTAATTTCTTCCAATGACCTTCAAGACCACGTTAAGACCTGTAAAAATAACCAGCCGGGTTTATTTGGTTAAGCTAAGGTTGATATTTTCTAAAATAAAGAAACTCAATTGGTTATAACTGTAGTTGCTACAGTGAACTTTAGAGTCACCCATTTATCCTATTACGATGACGATTTATAGATGGACGTTTGTAAATGAAGGATATTTCATGCCTAAAAAGGGGATATAAATACAAATTTTGCTTCCGGCAAAACGCTTTGTCACGCATAAACTGAATGGTACTCGGAGTGAGTATTCAAAGAAGTCTTTAAAATACAGATTTTTGTACAGCTAGCGTTTCAGCTAAGCTAAGCATATGACCTAGGCAACTTCTATACATGACCATACAAGCTGTTATAGTGTCAGTCACGTGGCCTTCGTCAAAATGCTTCACAATGGGTGAAGGTGACTTTCTGCCACCTAAGTATAACATTGTGCAAAGGCCATGTCCCCTTAACATGCAAAAACGAAAGTCGCCTACTGTACTTGGATACAATCCAGAGAAGTAGAAAAGATGATCCTATAAAACAATCGATTTGCAGGAAACAAACTTAGACAGAGTAGTACTTAAGTTTCCATGCCTTTATCCAACGAAATATCAGCGAGGTTCAATAAAATGCCTGTTCAAATGAATCCAACAAATTTACATCGAAGACTCAATAGATGATGACACGAAAATCTGGACTGAAACATCAATGGGAAATGGATATCCATTAAAGTTCATAAATCTTTGTAGAAATGATTGAGAGTTGCAACTTAGCTTATATTTTTTCCAAGCAGAAGCATCGTATTACGCTAACATTCACAGGGGAATTTGTTGGCATAATTTTGAAGCGAAGTCTGAGGTCTGTCATCAACGAAACATATTACGCATCTAGCTTGATCAGGTTTGTTGCAGCACAGACCCCATCACTAAATAAACAATAGCATCAGCAGCTGGGTCTGAAAAGCTGATAGGCAAAGAGGGTAGAAAAACATTGGTAGAATTTAATTACATATTAGATTTGTTTATTCGACCTATAACACACAGTGATCTGGCATTATTTACTTGATGACGTTTTCAGCATAAATTATTGCTCATAATCATATCATTGTGAAAGTCCTGTGAGTTTACTGACTAATTTTCGAACAGGAAGATTGTAAAAACAAATAATATGTGGTAACAGGACCATAAAAATCAGATATCAAAAGGTGTGTTATCACACTGATATGATTATGAGCAATAATTTATGCTCGAAACATCATCAAGTAAATAATACTAGATCACTGTGTATTATAACTCAAATAAATAAATCCAATATGGTAGGCATCCATCTTTATCCATTTCAAAACACCACTGATCATGGTCCTATGAGTGATATTATAACAGTCTGTACATTTTTGCATAGAAATTTTTAGGGTTGTATATTTCGTTTACATGAAATGCTAAACATACGCGAACACACGGTTAAATTATCCAAAGATCATTTGAAGTTTACTTTCCTTAAGAATTTAGGTCTTTCATCTTAAAGAAGCATTGCAAACTATTTCAATCTGTTTTATTTTCACCTTGAGTAGTTTTGCGTAGAACTGCCTGACTCTAAAATACTATAGAGTGAGTTTGAATCTCCAAAGGAACATGGATTTTCTCAAAGTTGAATAATTTCTCGGTGAATGTCAAGGAGAAACTTCCGAAGAATGATTCCTAGCATGAATCACCAATCCAGTTTTGTTTAAACCCACTATTTCAAACTATAGTATCTGGAAGTGAAGCTTATTTTCATCATATGAAATGGGAACACATTTGTCTGTATTGATTTGCCACTAAAAGAATTTGGATAAATTATATGGCCGCTGGACTGCGGAAAAGAACCTAGAAGACTTGGATTTCGCCAACGATGACTTGTGCCTGATGTCACACAAACTTGAAGATCTACTGGCGAAAACTAACACGTTGACAGAAGAGGCAGCGAAGACGGGACTTCAGGTGAATATAGAGAAGACAGAAGTGATGAAGATACCGCACCACCACCATCAACAACAACAAACTCCAGTCACCATCAACGGAAGAAACTTGAAGGAAGTAACCTCCTTCACCTATCTAGGAAGCACTGCCTCAACTACAGGTTTCGGGACAGACGAGGATGTCAAAGTCAGAATCGGAAAAGCAAGAGAGGCGTTCATTAGCCTGAAACCAGTGTGGAGATCTTCTGCACTCAGCATGAAGTGTGAACAAGATCCGGATTTTCAACACCAACGGCAAGTCAGTGCTTCTGTATGGTTCAGAGACTTGGCGCGTTACGAAAGGCATTTCCAATAAACTACAGACATTCATCAACAACTGCTTACGCTCGCTACTGAAGATCAGATGGTCAGAATAATGAGAATAAGCAACAAGGAACTCTGGCCTGGCAACGAACCAACCAAGAACCTATCACCCAACAAATATGCAGGAAGAAGTGGAGATGGATTGGCCATGCACTGAGAAGGCCGACTGAGGACATCATGCGTCAGGCCAGTTGCTCGAGTGGAATCCCCATGGGAAGTGGCGAGTTGGACGTCGGTGCCGAGGGTGACATGGAGGAGGTCATGCGAGGAGGAAGTGAGAGTTTCTGGGCTGTTGTGGAACCAGGTTCAAAAGATCTCAGAGAACAGAGGTCACTGGAGGCGTGCTACTGAAGCCCTATGTTCGACTAAGAACCCAAAGGCTAATAATAATAGTATTTGAACCACTCAACTTATTCATCAGTAACAGACTTAAGCGTTAAGTAACAATGATATTTGCATTAAAAACCCTAAGTGGTGGATGCATTTGTCTTTCAACCTCTGGATCACGTTCAAAGAACTAGATTTGAACGATCTATCAAATAATGAATCAAACTAGAGATTGCAAAATACTGCCGACTTCTGAACAGTACCGATTTTGCTATAGCCATGACCTAGGTTGCATTTTATAACTTAAATAAATATCTACAAAATTTCACGTCTGATATTTTCTAGTAGTAACTTTGCTTCTTAACACAACTTATTTTTTTGAAACAAGGCAACTGGAATCCTTGGCTCGTGAAAGTTTCGGTACAATGTTGGCTTCTGGGACTTCAAAACTGGGACTAACAACTCCAGTCCACTCAACACTTGATGGCGTTATTAATAAGGCTGTGAAAGAAGTAAGTACCTAATTAAATTCTCATAACAATACTAAGAGTATGTATAATGTGTGCCTCTAAAACTTACGCATAACTCTAATTTAATGTGCTATGATCCACAGATAAGGCCCGAAGCAATGCATCACTTATTGATTCAGAGTGGTATAAGTAATACAACTCAACCCGTCCTGGACTACGAGCTACGTGTTGTATATGTGAGGTCTTCTGATATCACCCGGTTATTCAGGCTGAGGTAGGTGGAGCGGTATTAGAACCCTGAACTCATTGCTTCGATATAAACTGTCTAACCCAATAAGCCACGGCACCTATGAGCTGCTACACTTATCCCTCAGTCTCCTATTTTAGGCTTAACATAAGAAAAAATGGGCCAGAATGTAAACATTCTCTACATTTTTTAAAACAGAGATCGATAAACAACATAATGATGGGCTTTTTAAGCATCATGGGATAAGTATGTTTAGATTGTAGCCTAGATTTTGCTTTGATATGCTTGAATGACACAGTAGAAACCTATTTTACCAGTAAACTAGTGCAAAATTGAAGTTTCATCAATAATAGTAAATAATGCCACTCAAAAATGAATTTCATCCTAAATGGACATACAAAACTATCTTATTGCCTTATTCTGCATGCGTAGAGTAGGATTCAAACTCTGATCCCACAGGTGAAACATAAATAGCCAATTTTCTCAGTTGTGACTGATCAACAGTAGTATACAGACATTCGACAGTGAAAAGACACAATCCATAAGTAGTTAGTTCTTATTTTCTATTCCTAAAACTGACTGGACATCATTTGCAAATATGCATAATTTATATCTCTCATTGGATTACAGGTTTACTATGTTAATTAATAAAGCAGAATAGGCGATGGTAACCAAACTTATCAGAGAGATTAAGGGCAATACAAAGTGTATCAACCTACATATGGTAAGGTAAATGCAAATCAGTTAACAAAATAGGCTGAAAGTGGTTGATATTTCAGGTTACTTGGCTAACTAAATTCACCTATGTTTATTTATAACATAACAGTATACTCGCACCTTTATCAAGTCACGTTCCTATGATGTGGTTTCTAAAGTTCATTCTGTGAGAAACTTGCGTTAGATCATTAAAGGGCTTGATTTAACTGATGTAAGTAACGTTGAACAAGGATTAACCAAATACTTTAGGCCGGCGAAACCTACTTTGACCTGTGCGTTTTCCCTAAAGTAGTTAATTTAGGCTTATGAATTCCATTCTCCTTTTGTTCATATGCAGTTTAAAAATAAAGATATCCATCAAAATATCTTTTTTTTAAAAAATTAAATGGTTAACATATTTCATACAAATTAATCGACAAACGATGTAAACTCAACCAATTCTATGCTTTTTCACAGTTGGTACTAGAGGGAATATCTCCATCATGCTTTCAATTCCAGCACTGCGACTAGACATCAAGAAGTGCAATATTTAGCTTTGAATTTTCGAGGAAAGTCGGGGGAAAGTCGTAAAACAAAGTTAAAAAGACGTTCCTTAAAACCTTAGCAAAGCAGATAGAGATGGTGTTTAGACCGGATCTTTTTGATAGGTGAAATGGGGTCAAAACTAAATGGTCAAAGCTAAAAACACTGAATAGATGGTTAGGTCTAAAGTAGGTGAAAAACTTGGGCACTGTGGTAGAATGTAATTCCATATTAGACTTGTTTATTTGATATAAAGCGCACAATGATACTGTATTATTTACTTGATTACGTTCCGAGCATAAATTATTGCTCATAATCATATCAATATCATATCAATGACATTGATATGATATTGATATGATTATGAGCAATAATTTATGCTCGGAACGTAATCAAGTAAATAATACAGTATCACTGTGCGCTTTATGTCAAATAAACAAATCTAATATGGAAGGTCTAAAGTAGATTTTATAGAGCCAGTGATTTACCTTAAATTGAGATATAAAACTTCAATGCTCTTTGGTTGGTGAATGTGTACTTTTGATACTTTTACGTCTACTTAGCCGGCTGAATTGGTATCACTTTCAACCTCAAAATAGGCTTTACTGTACTTCAACGCTCAGTGGGAAAATATAGCTTCGAATCTTTCAGTATTCTGAAAGTCACAGATAACAGTTTAATCCATTTCTCCGGATCGTCGATATTTCCAATAGAATGGCATGACATTTGGAGTACTGTCTGAGTGCTGTATAATAGTTATAGTACATATGACAAGTACCATACAATCAGTGACAAAAAGAACAACGCCTCAGCTCAACAGACTAGATGTCAGGAATCTGATACATAGAAATACTCCTGACAGTCATTAGTTTCAGTCCACTTGAAACAGTTGTTCAGTAGCATATTACTTTCGATGTTTCAATGTATAGAGCTGGTTTTCAATAAGTAGTGAATAAAGTATCTACTTTCGGATAAATCTAGGAATAAAATTTTGTTTTAGTGAGGAAAGATGAGAAATTATCAGACTAACATTACTGACAAACTTATTAGCATACCTAGCCTAACTTACAGATATGTAGCCTTTGCAGTAAAGACAAACAAGACACATCTCTTGCCCTTGAAAACGTTTAGCAACTTGAAGGATGATATTTGAATGTTTAAAGTAAATTTCATAAGATATCTGATTTATAAATCGTTATTTCCCCTATTTCATTAAGTAATTATGCTTTATAGATACATTCTTATATTTATCTTAATAACAGGGCAACAACATTTAAAAGCACTTTTCCCTGACATTTTTAGCATCATACACTTCTTTTCCATTAGCTTGAAGTAGAATTCAAATACTAATTTCAATCTTACTTAAAAATTCACAGTAAGATATATCTGCATCCGTCTTAAATAAGTTATTGTTGATGACGTCATAAAGACGGATGCTGTAGCATCCACAACTGAGCATGAACTTACAGCGAATAGTAAATACCTTCCAGTGTTGTTGTTATTATTGACAGTAATACCTAATGATCATCAGTTTAAGCATAAGGCACCACTAGAAAGACTCCTGAATCACAATAACTGTTTTTTGTTCAAAGGGTATGCGTTATCTTTATAGCTTGAAATATCACACAGTGAATTTTCTTGACTATATCCGATGACAGTCAGCTGAAGAATTTCGTTTACACTACATATTAATGAGAAGTAGTCACTTCATTAATGTCAGTCGATAACAGGAAATTTCAAGTTTAAGTAACATTTTAAAAGTTTATTTCAAAAATTTTGTTTTTAACAGGTAGATGTTTTAAATAACATAAATACTGTTCACCATATACTTCATTTGACCACTTCATGATGAATGCTGCCAGTATATTTTAAAGGCAACTATCAGGTGTATTTGCACTCAGAGAATATGGAGTATAGTAATTTCTTATTAAAACGGCACTATAAATCAGAAAAACTATTCATTAAATTAAATTAATCCAACTCACCACAAGAGATATGAATTTGCATTATTTTAATCTGAGACATCCTTATCATAAATTTACCCTTATGGACTAGACATTATGACCAGAAAACTTGACTCAAGCTATAATTACCAAATGTATTGTGAATAATACGTGATTTATAGGCAAGATAAACATATACTTTCGAGTTTTAATTACAATAAATTCCTGATAATCACGTAAAAATAGAAAATTTGAATGTAAAGCAGTTAATAAGGAGACAATTCATCTTTTCAGCTGACAAATATACCCCTAGCTTGAGAAGACTAGACATCATAAAAGACACTCTGACTAACTCAAATGATTCTTACTTTATATATTCTAATCTTCAACCATCACCAGTGTTCTTACTTTGGCTTCCAAAGTTAGTTCCGATTGCAACAACTTGTAAAGTTTTATTGCTGTAATATCACCCCATTGGTATCCAAGTCGAAAATGGAAGTTGAAGCTTTCCGAGAGGTGTTTCGTTCGAAAGATCATTATCAGAATAAGAACAAAATTAAAGAATCGATTACAGGTACATGATTCACGGCTACCTTACACTTAAAGCGAAAAATGATGCTTATTAATTTGCACTCAGTATTATATATGTTATTTATTTGTTATGAGGTAAGAATCCAAACAAAGTAATAGCTCAGGTCACATTAGTTTTTAGTGAATTATATATGGGTCATCACAAATAATCCACCGGATGAATTTTAATGGTCACCTTGCTATCCAACTGCTAAATACTCATTATTAGTTTTAAGCTGAAAATAATTAATTCATTCTTCGTAAGTTTGAAGGAATTCCGGTTTTGAGTTATCCCTTGTGTTGTAATTCAGTCCTTTCCGAAGCGGAATTTTTAGTAAAACACAGACAGAAGCCTTTACGGAATGAAATACTCGCTTCCTTTTTCGCAGACTCGCATTAACTACAACACCCTAATATCCCCAAACTTATAATAATTGGGAAAAATAAATGCATAACACACTTTAGTTGTTTTCCACAAAGACTAAGTTCCGAATTCGCAGTGTATCAATAGATCAGGGAATCATATGTGATATAATCAAAGGGGCTTGGTCAGGAAGAAAGGAACAAACTCACGAACTGCAAGGTTACAAATGAATATAAATCACATTTAAAAAAAACCGTAGGCAGAGTACTGATGGAACCCCGCCTAATTAAACAGTTTAGTAGTTACTAGCCCGTCCTAGGCCCGGATAAAGAGGGGATGTGGAACATAGGGCTAGCAAGCATACGCTGGAAAATAAATCCAATCGCTAAACAAACTTCGAAGCATAAATAAAATACATAAAACAGAAATAAACTTATTCCTCGCTGAAACCGGAGAGATGAAATGATGCCGGTTGGTTGTGCCTTCTCCTCTATTCTCTCGATGAAAGCAAAAGTAAGCGTGGGTCTCGGAATGTCCGCACAATGTTTGAACCTAGCAAAGCTGCTTAGATTACAAGAAAGATGAGAAGGTATAGCATGGAAGTGCTGGGAATCCGCGAAAGTAGATGGAATGGAAGTGGACTCTCCAAACCGCCAACTGGAGAGTCAATAATCTACCT